ATATATATAGCATACTTCACACAGTGGTCCATATGTAATAGTATATTTATAGCTGTTTCATACTTTCCACTGGATTTCAATGTGTTTGCTATGTAGCTGCTGGGCCGGTTGTTGGTGATGCAACCAATCAGATCAATCTGATGCGGGTGCTGAATTCCGACTATCTCTACAGAGGCACAGTAACTAAAGTCGTCGAGGAGGTATGATAATAGTCTCCGATGTATTGTGTGTTTGTGAGTATGGCTGTAGTATTATAGATATATGATTATGGTCTCCGATGTATTGTGTGTGTTTGTGTGTATGCTGTAGTATTATAGATATATGATAACTGTAGTATTATAGATATATGATATTGGTCTTCGATGGATTGTGTGTGTTTGTGTGTATGGCTGTAGTATTGTAGATATATGATAATAATCTCCGAAGTATTGCGTGTTTGTGTGTATGGCTGTAGTATTATAGATATATGATATTGGTTTCCGATATATTGTGTGTGTTTGTGTGTATGGCTGTAGTGGTGATTCTTGACTTGTTTAGAGAGGTGCCTCTTTTTTTCCGATGTATTGTGTATATTTATTCGTATATCCATAGTTTTGGGTCTTGAATTGCTATAGTTTCTGACCGAGTTTGCCCTCTTTCTCCCAGCTCTCCACTGATACCGTCTTCCTTACACCCTCCTGTTGCCTTAGGTGTGCCGTACGCTTGTGACTCAGTCCATCGCCCACTCACTGTACACACCTGCCCTGGAGGAGATGCCTGTGTACTACCAAGGACAGACTATCGCTGTACTTGTCCCAGATGATGATCCGCTGGCACCCGCCTCTATGCTGGCCACGGGTGTAGCAGGTTGGCTAGAGATTTAAGGTTTTTAGGGTTTTAGGGTTTGAGCTGTGTGGTTGCGGTTAGAAACTCTGCTGTTTTAGGGTTTAGGGTTTTTAAGTTGTGTGGTTGATACAAGAAGCTCTGTTGTGTGGTTGTTGTAGCGGTCTGTGCCTTTCCAGAGCGTATTCACATGCGATGGCTATAGACACAGAACGAAAGAGATAGTACGTGGGAGGCCAATAAGTTGACGAATGAGTTGTACCACTGTGTTGCTTATATGCATGGTTGTTTATTTCTCATCTGCTGTTGTAGATGTCTCACATGCATGGTTGTTTATTTCTCATCTGCTGTTGTAGATGTCTTATAAGTATGGTTGTTTATTTCACATTTGCTGTTGTACTTGTCTTACATGTTTGATTGTTATTTTTTTATCTGCTGTTGTAGATGTCTTACATGTATGGTTGTTTTTTTCTCATCTGCTGTTGTACATGTTTTATATGTTTGGTTGTTTATTTCTCATCTGCTGTTGTACATGTCTTGCATGTATTGTATGATTATTTCTCAGGTGCTATTGGGGGCGTTCTGCTGAATCCCATCGAGGTAATCCACACTCGAATGGTGTTACAGCGCAATGTAAGCGACGCAAAGTACCAAAACATTCTGCAGGGGTTAGCGCTGGTTTATGATGAAGAGGGCCTGGAAGGTCTGTTTGCTGGGTGGCAGGTGTGTGTGTGTGCGGGGTGGCTGTAGTCAGTGGCCGTATCGTCTCACAGCAACTGTTGCATGTGTGTTTGTATATATATATATATATATTTATATATATATCTTATATATATATGCATATATATATATATATATATATATATATATAAATATACATCTTATATATATATACATATATATATATATATATATATATATGTGTGTGTGTGTGTATGGAGTGTGTGATCGTACACTAGTTATGTGTACTGATAAGGAGACCGATCCCTACTCTGTGTTCAAGGCTGTTACCAATAAGGAAGGTGATGGTACTGCTCTATAACCCTTTCCTACCTACACCACTCATTTCAATAAGGAAGGTGATGGTACCTCTTCATATATCTTTCCTGCCTACACCACTCATTCCATTAAGGAAGGTGATAGTACTTCTTCATATCTCTTTCCTACCTACACCACTCATTCCAATAAGAAAGGTTGTAGTACTTCTCTATAACCCTGTCCCATCCTACCCCCCCCCCCAGCTATTATACACCACTCATTCCAATAAAGAAGGTGTTAGTACTTCTCTATAACCCTGTCCTGTCTACCCCCTCAGCTGGCTGCCATTGCGCATGGGGTGCTGCCTGTGCTGAGTGACATAGGAGATTCTCTGCTGGCTGAGTTGTTTGAGGGGGTGTATGGTGACGATGGAGTGTCTAGTGTAGGCTATGTGTTGTGCGATATACTTTATAACCTGGCTGTATTGCAGATACAGATGCCGCTGGAGGTCATGCGGCGGCGCTTGTACGTGCAAGGGGCCTTGAAGGTAGGCACATTTTATTATGTGTAGGGACATATTATTATGTGTAGGTACATATCATTATGTGTAGGTACATATTATTGTGTAGGTACATTTTATTATGTGTAGGTACATATTATTATGTGTAGGTACATATTATTGTGTAGGTACATTTTATTAAGTGCAGGTACATATTATAATGTGTAGATACATACTAATATGTGTAGATACATACTGTTATATGTAGGTACATCTTATTATGTGTAGGTGCATATTTTCATGTGTACGTACATGGTTGATGGTCACTGCTAGACGATAGTGGGCTGAGTTAGTGTCTGATGGAGTAGTGTACGTTGGTATTATAGTTGAGAGGATGGCAAAAGGTATTTTGTATAGTTGTCATCAACGGTACAGTTGGTTGACAGTTGGTTGTCATGGATGGCACAGTTGGTTGCTATAGATGGCGCAGTTGGTTGCTATGAATGGCTCAGTTGGTTGTCATGGATGGCACAGTTGGTTGCTATGGATGGCACTGTTGGTTGCTATGAATGGCACAGTTGGTTGTCATGGATGGCACAGTTGGTTGCTATGTATGACACAGTTAGTTGCTATAGATGGCACAGCTGGTTGCTATGGATGGCATAGTTGGTTGCTATGGATAGCTCAGTTGGTTGCCATGGAGGCGGCGGTGACATTTGGTATATGCTATATCGTTATCGACATTTTTCCATGCTGCGCGAAGTATGTTGGTGAATTGCCTGGTCTGGTCTGAATTCAATACAAGACAACTGTAGGTATTTGTCGATGTTTTACTGTAAGTACGTATCTGTAGGTAGGTTAGTGTAGGTATGCATGTGTAGGTAGGTGACTGTAGGTAGACCTGAGTAGGTAGCATTGTTTCGGTTTGGCTTGCGCATGTTTCACCTCTCTATAGTCACCAACCAGCTTTGGTATTCCTCTGCTGAATAACACGACATTCCCCGTTCTTCTGTGCAGCATGGGTTTCACCCTGTAACCAAGGTAACGCGCACTGCCTACACATCCACCGCAGACATCGCCACAAGGATATACGCCGAAGAAGGCATGCGCTGTGGTTTATTCATGAGTATCATCACTGGATGTATCTACTGGATGTGTCTGTGTGGCATGTTACCACAATGTGCTGTGATTTATTCATGAGTACCATTGCTGGATGTGTCTGTGTGGCATGTTATCACATGCGTGTCTATTCCGTTTTGCCTGGTTTGAGCACATAGCTACTGAGTGTGTGTGCATGACATATCGCATTGTGTGTGTCGTGTGACTTGCAACGGGTAGCATTGAATGGTTGCGTAGGTGTCGTCTTCGTTTGGTATTGTACTCTGAAGTTGCCCACTGTGAACTCGTATATGTAGACGGGCATGTATCAGGTACGCCTGTTCATGTACATGTACCCCTGTATGTAGGTATACGTTCATTGTATGATATAGATTTGTTCATATACATCTAGTTATGCATGTAGGTATACGTTTATTATACGATATACATCTATTCATATACATTTAGTCATGCATGTAGGTATACGTTTATTGTATGATATACATCTGTTCATATACATTTAGCCATGTATGTAGGTATACGTGTATTATATGATATACTTTTATTCTCATACATGTACCCCTGCATGTAGATATACGTACATTCTATCATATATATCTATTTATATACATGACCCATGCATGTAGGTATACATATATTGTAACCTATATGTATATCTGTTCATATCCATGTAGGTATACATATATTATATTGTATACAACTATTCATATACTTGACCCATGCATATAGGTATACGTATATTATATTACATTTATCGGTTCATGTACATATGCCCATGGTTGGTGCATGTGCAGTAACCTTCCACCTGCTTTTGTTGTTCTATTGTTTATAGGGGTGTCGACATTCTTCAGTGGGTTTGCCACACACTTTGCGGCAGCGACGGGTGCCATTGTACTGTACATTGGTCTTCAGCTGGCAGGCGAATGAGTGCATTTCAACTCAGTTTATAATTTAAAAAAAACCAAGTTACAATCCCTTCATTCCGAGACTATTTACACGTGGCAATATCAATACCTTTGAACTGATTTTGAGAATATTGGGTTCTGCTTTGGGTTTGAACATTCTGTGTTTGTGTATTTTGGTTTTGAAAAAAGAAATAAAAAAAATTTAAAAAGCCGGCAGCACCTGAAAGCCACAGAAAGTATTTATTTCGAGAAATATTTAATTTTCCTGAGCAGGTTCGACTTTTGTGTCGATTTGTGATTCAGCTATATAAAATATTTGATCGTCGTAGCAACCGTAGCAGATCACAGCTGGTAGTAGTCGCTGATGTTATTTACAGCTAAAAGTAGTAGCAGACAGGTGTATTCGCATTTCACTATTCTGTCTGTGGTTAGAATGCACCACTCTGCACATTGTATAGTCCCCATCCATATCATGCAAACGTATTGTAGTTACTAGGTGTTTTACAGTAAGTTCTACAGACGATAAGCAGAGCCTGTAGTGATTCATACGCACACACCGTCCAAAGGTATTCAATAGGTACATCAAACAATATGGTATGGGTGAAGCCGCAGGAGGTGCTGTTATCACTACCCCTCTGGGTGACCACTCGTAGCAGCGAGTATTTCTCTATGCAGCACAGACGAGGTAGTGCTGAGGCTCAGACTCAGCAAACCCAGCCAACAGGTCAGTCGGCTTAGTAGTGTGTGTCCTGCACGCATGTGTATGATGAAGGAACATGCGGCAGAGGGTTGGATTGCTGGTTGTTTTATAATGTAATATAGAAGTCATACGGAAGGAAGAAATGGGAATACAGGAATAGACAGTTCACATAACCCTGTAGGTTGTAAATGCAGATGGTGGGTTTAGGTGTATAGTATAGTATTCAAATAGACACCCATTATTAACGTTTGATGTTCGTTGTAAACTAGTGTCCTCTATATTCATTCCAAAAGAAAAAGGTATAGCAACAGCTATA